TCCTGGGAACCTGTGCATGTGTCATAACAACACGTGCACGCAACTCACTTTCACATGCATATATACCAAAATAATAATAACACAACACAGTGCACAACATGAACACGGCAGTGCTAAGTTGCGTGCTTTTACCTTTTCACACGATGCAGCGTGATGGATACCTTATACCTCTGTTTGCAGATTTGAATTTGAACACGATATTCCCCCTGGTGTGGGATCGGGCGCCGCTTTTCCTCGTCCTTTCAGAATAAAAAATGAAGAGATGAATTTAAATGCTGGAAATTGTCTGCAAATAAACCTTTTAACGGTGGCTATATAGCCGCCCATGCGTTAAATTGCCTGAGTCGATGTAGCGAACTGTAAAAGCATCCTCAAGGTTTACGAACCAATGAATACATTGGGTGACAAAAAGTGCAAATGGATGTCTCTTCGAATCCCCTTGCCACGCGCATTTTGGATGACTCTTGGGACCTTTTCCCCATTACAATAAGACATGTTACTTCTTTTATATCATTACACAAGCTACATTACACATTACACAAGGCATGATGCAAGGCATGTACAAGATGAACATGCAAGATGTGTATAATCCTCTGCTTTATCGAAATGCAAAATGCGCATGCGTGTTCACTCGCGTTAGTCTGCTTTTATTTTTCCAAGAAAGGCCTATGCATTCAACTTTGAAAACAATATTCGAGATTTTTCGTTTATAATACAGACTTTACCTTTTTAAAAGTCATTACGACGACAACTTTGGACGTTGCAATTACCTACGACGAAGAAGTATTGGCCACCATATTGCTTGCATATTTCTAGCATTACAGACCCCGAAAAATAAACGTCCATATTTAAGGAAAAGTTAAACAGTTACAACTCTTACACTCACACTTAAACAAACACCCAGCCTTACCGCACCTATACTGTGGACATTCCTTTGTTTTCGTGTAGTGTAGAAAAACAAAAGATAAAACTCCTTTTACTCCCACTGTGAACACTCTTTCAACCCATTTTTTTTTCATGACTTCCTTGCGTGTTTCTCTTCATTTTGCGACGGATACACCTTACCCCAAATGTCTGTTCTAAAGCTGTTTTCCAGATGGGGGAACCTAGTGTGGACGTGTGCAAGTCCACAGAGTGTTCACGCTTCCTTACATCCTGTGGACATCTTTTGCTCACAGGTCCACATAGAGTATGTAAGTTAGAGCACACTTACACTCACGGTTTTATGGGTATTTTGCTTACAAGGCACTAGCCTTTGTGACCCCATATCCCATTTTTGTTTACTTCCCAAATGAGTCAAGACAAACTCTTTCTTAAATGCTGGCACAGCTCTAGCATTCACCACTTCCCGAGAGAGAGCATTCCACACATTAAAGGGAATATACATCATTTGCTTTTGCTGTAATTTTAAGAAATGGATGGAATTGGGGGGTTGGAAATATATAGCAAATATAGTTACACTGACTTTTTTGAGGTTTTGGGTTCGAAAATGCTATAAAAACCAAGAAAAACGATTAGTCCACTTCGTTCCCTACTTACCTGTTGGACCTATAAATGCATATTTCCTTAACTATGTAAATTAACCGCTAAAGTAAAGATTTGCTATAGCGTGCCACAGCGCCCTCCTGCGCCAGCGCCCACAATAGTCAGATCCCCCGCCATTATCGTCCTCTTTTTCTTTAGCGCTCGTGACGGTAGGACGTGTTTTCAATGCTCGCAGTAGCATGCACGTTTTTACTGGTTTTAATCGCTATTTGTTATTAATTTTCTCAAGATTTGCAATACATTTGTTTCTCGGAAGCTCATGGTTTGTTTCTGGTTACATTTGCTTGTGTTTTAGACGAGTTTTATAAACGTTTTTATTTCGTTTTATGACCTCGTGTTTTTGCGTGTACACATTGAACATTAAAGGATACGTATATGTTTGTATTTTTTTATCCTTACAGTTTGAAGAAAATCCTACTATAGTTCTGAGACTGTTCTGGTTTTTGGGGTCTTTGACAAAATGCCTCCCAAAAATTTCGTGACTTGTAATAAATGTCACAAGATTTTGCCGAATAGCCTAGACGACTCCCACGAATTATGTCCTAAGTGTAGGCCATGTTCTAGAGCTCTTAGGTGTTCCATTTGCGAGCCATGGGGCTCCGAAATGTGGACGAAGATTGAAACCTGGCTAGCGAAATCTACAGACTCGGCAAGAAGTGAAGCTTCGACCACTTCTGGACGGAAAAAGAAGTCATCGAAGCGGGTAAGTACGGAGCCGCCGCGGTCCGTTCCTGGACGCGCGACGGGGCTTTCGCGGACTGGAGCCGAGCCGATGGCCGAGGGTTCCAGTGCCGCAAGTCTTTCCCGGGGACAGGTTTCGGGCACGGAAGTGTCGCAGGCCAGTCCCCATAAGGGAAGGAAAAGGACCGGTAGTGGGCGCGATGCGCCGAAAACCACCGGCCCTGACTCGGTACAAACCGGGGCCAGACGGAAGTCTGCGAGCTCCCGGGCCGATGAGTCGGCAAACCGAGAAAAACGTCGGTCTACGTCGGCAATCCCGGCGACCGACGCCGGGATTTCCCCGGGAGCAGATTGCTCCGAAGGGGATTCCCCGGGTTGTCCTCAGCCACCGGTTGAGGGCGCAAACCCGAAGAAACAAAAACCGATCGGCCCATCGCGTTTACGTTCGGCCCCGACCGTTGGTCTGGGGAACCGAGCGGAACCGGGCCCTATCGGTCTGACGGCCGCCTCGTTGAACCCGGCACCCGGTCCTGATAATCGTGCACCGGTGGCGCCCGGGGTTCTTTCGGACGTTCCTTCGGGAATTTCTGATTTAATGGCTCGTCACCGTGGATCGGAAAATCGATCACGGCCAAAGAATAAACGGCGCCGGGCCCATAAATCCCGCCGCCGCCGTTATTCTAGCTCTTCAACGAGCGACAGTGCCAGTACGTCGCCGACTTCTGGCCAGTCGTCGGACCACCCGCGTCATCGCAAACGCGGGCGGAGAGACAATACATCGGAGTTATTGCTGAAAGGTTTTCAGGCTTTGTCGGCTCAGTTGGCGGCGATGGCGCCACAACAACTCCCAATTCCCCCGCAAGCGGAGGCCGAAGATCGGGAATTTGACCGGGAATCAGGCGGCGCTATTTCGATTCACCCGTCTGATTCATTGCAAGAGTCGGACTCGGACGTCAACCGCGCTACGCGCAGAGACGCCAATAGACCTTCACCTACTCATTCTACAGCTGTAGATACACACGAGGCAACACCTAAGGGTGACCTCGAGTCCCGGCCGGGTCCATCTTCGATGGATCGGCCGTCCGACGTGGATTCTACCGAGAGTCATCCTTATGAGACTACCGATAATAGATTTCGTGAAGTGATGTGGGATATGGTTCGTATATTAAAGGTTCCCATTCCCGAGCAGTCAGAATCTTCACAAGGTACACGGCCTAGTTTTAAAAAACGCACAGGTGTACCAGAGCGGGATTCCCCAAAGTCAACCTTTCCGGAATTCCCGGTGGACAGGGTTTTTTCTAACCGTCTTAAAGCGATAGCTGGTCAGAAAAAGTGGCAACCCTTTGCCAAGGCAGCATGTCATCCCTTTCGGGTTCCAAAGCAGGATACCGAAGAATTTTTAACAGTTCCGGTTATCCCAGACAATGCAAAGGACAAGATGGCGGCAGATACAGGGAAACAATCACTTAAGGTTCCCTTTGCCGATCCTGTCCGGGGTAAACTTGAAGAAGCATTACATAAGGTTGATGCAGCATCCCGCATGGGTCTGCAAACGACTTCATTTATGCTTCTTTTGTCAGAATACTTGGTTACTGCATGTGATTCCGGTTCCAGTGTTTCTCCTACAATGGCTGTCAATGCCTTTCAGTGTCTGGAGGATGGATTACGCATCATCCTAGACCAATTTGCTAGGGTCTCTGTACTTGCCACGGTCTCCAGACGTTCCAATGTTTTGGAAACGATCTTCTTCCCTTCAGAAGGGGCAAGAAAACGCATGGAGGCCCTTCCTTTATGGAACAAGGATTTGTTTGCGGATCAGTTCCAGACGATGATGGAGGCCGAGGCCAAACGCCTAGAAGCAACAGACCGTATTAATTTACAGGCCCCTCGGAAGAAGTCACAACCAACGGCTAAGGTCCCGACTACTTCCAATAGATCCAAAGGGTTTAGAAAACCTTTGCCCTCCTTTCGGACACCCAAGTCTACCCAATCAACCACTGTGGCTCGATCAACACCAGCAGTAGCCGCAACAACATCACAGGCGACTTCCGGACGGAGTTTTGGCTGGCCAACCTCAAGAGGTCGTGGCACGCGGTTTCCCTCCCGCCAGAATTCTTCTCGAGCGGGTCGGGGATGGCGTCGGTGACGCTGGTTCTCCACCCGTGGCCCCCCAGATTGGGCCCGTGGGGGGCCGCTTAAGGCAATTCGGGGAGACTTGGGCCCACTTTTGCACCGATGGGTGGGTGCTTCAGACAGTTACACAGGGGTACAGCCTCGAGTTTACAAGCACTCCCCCATCGGTAATGTTCTCACGTCCCACCCCTGTTCCATCAGACAGGGAACAGCGGAGGGCATTGGAGAAAGAAATAGAAACCCTGCTATCAAAGCAAGCAATTCAACCGGTGCGAAGCCCAGTAGAAACATCAGGTTTCATGTCAACATTCTTCCTAACACCCAAGAAGAAGCAAGACGAGTGGCGTCCTATTCTGAACCTAAAGCCGTTGAACAGGTTTATTCGTCCACGGCGGTTCCGAATGGAGACCCTGCGTACCGTCTTAAATTCTCTCCCGACACCATCTTGGGCCGCATCAATAGATCTGCAGGATGCTTATCTTCACGTACCCATTTGCAGGGAACACAGAAAATACCTTCGTTTTCAATACAAAAATACAATTTTCGAGTTCCTCACTCTTCCGTTCGGTCTGTCAACATCACCAAGGGTCTTCACCAGAGTAACAAAGACCCTGGCGACAATACTTCGAAGAGCGAATATAATGATATTCCTCTACCTGGACGATTGGTTGATCGTAGGCAGGTCCAAAGAAGAAGTTCGACAGTCCTTAGAGGTAACCGTCGACTTGACGACAAGGTTAGGTTTTCTAATAAACTTGGAAAAGTCTCATCTGGTCCCCACCCAGACACCGTCTTTTCTGGGGGCAGAAATCGACCTGGTAACAGGGATCGCTTACCCTTCGAGCGAAAGGGTACGCAATGTCCAGGAGTGCGCCACACTGTTCCTGACGGCTCAATCAGCACCAGCGGTGGCCTGGCTACGACTGCTGGGCCTAATGGCCAGTCTGGTCGATCTAGTCCCATGGTGTCGCCTGAGGATGCGACCAATTCAAATGCATCTTTTGGCTCATTTTCGACCCAGTCAACATCCTTTGTCAAGGAACATACCAATACTGAAGCCAATCATCCCCCACATTCATTGGTGGACAATTTGGAGCAACCTGAGTCAAGGTTTGCCTTTTCCTCCTCCACTTCCCACGGTGACTCTTACGACAGATGCATCCAACATGGGATGGGGTGCGCATCTACAGTCACAGCAAGTGTCGGGTCTTTGGACGCCAGACGAACTGGTTTTCCACATCAATGTTCTGGAACTCCTTGCAGTTCGCAGAGCCTTATCTCAGCTCATCAGCCTAGTCAAACAGAAGGTTGTAATGGTGCAGTCCGACAACTCAACTGTAGTGGCCTACATAAATCGCCAAGGAGGAACACGTTCCCCCCAGTTGTGCTTCCAGACTTGGAAGCTACTCCTTTGGTGCATAGATCACAACGTAACTCTTGTGGCATGTCACATACCAGGCGAGTTGAATGTCACTGCAGACGCGCTGTCCAGAGGAAAGATCCTTCCAACAGAATGGCAACTACACCCAAAAGTTGTCCAAACACTGTTCAATCTAATGGATCGTCCCAACATAGATCTATTCGCGTCACCAATGAACAACCAATTACCGGTATACTGCACTCGAGTCATGGATCCAAAAGCCTGGGCAGTCAATGCCTTAACAATCGACTGGACAGACATGTACGCATATGCATACCCACCGATCTCGATTCTCTCGAGGGTACTGCACAAGATCCGGGAGGAACCCTGCAAGGTGATGCTCATAGCTCCATTTTGGCCTCGCCAAACCTGGTTCCAAACGATGATCAGGTTGCTGGTTCATCAGCCCATCATCCTCCCGCAGAGACCAGATATATTGAAACAGCCCCGGTCCAAGTTGAACCACCCGGATCCGGAGCCACTACGCCTGACTTGCTGGCTATTGTCCAGCATTCCATGCGAACAGCAGGCCTTTCTGAGGAAGCTGCCGCCTTGGCAGCCTGTGGCCGGAGATCGTCTACAAGGAAGACATATAATAGCCGACTCCGACATTTTTTTAAGTGGTGCGACGGGAGGGACGTGGATCCCCTCTCTGCATCTGTAACCATGGTTGGGGACTTCCTCCTCCACCTGTTTAATACAGGGCTAACATTGGCCACAGTAAAAAATTACAAGTCGGCCATGGCTGCAGTGCATCAAGGTTTTCAAGATGGCTCCTCTGTATCGAACAACCTGGCACTAGGTCAACTGCTTAAAGGCATGTTTACGAAACGTCCTCCTCAACGTAAACTTATCCCAGCATGGGATTTAGGAGAGGTCCTACGTACCCTGGCAAACCCACCCTATGAACCTCTTGCGACGGTACCCTTGTTGGATCTGTCAGTCAAGGTAGCTTTCCTCCTCGCTGCTGCAACAGCTAGGAGACGGAGCGAACTCCATGCATTGACCCTGGACAAGGGACACATAAGATGGGAGCCGCACGGAGTACGTCTCATCCCTCGAAGTACTTTCCTTACTAAAAACCAGTCTCCTAACTTCCAGCCTCCGGACATCTTTGTCCCTGAATTGAAATCATTATCTTCGGTCCCTGAAGATAAGAAATGGTGCCCAGTTAGAGCTCTAAAATGGTACATAGCTCGCACAAAACCCATCCGCGGTGGGAAGTCTCAACTGTTCATAACTTCGACTCCTCCTCACCGCCCAGCATCCCGTGACACAATTTCTCGATGGATAGTTACAGCTATCCGATCCCAAATGCCAGACAGTCCGCTGAACGAATCCAGTCGGACGATTCATGCTCATGATACAAGGGCGGTCACAACATCATGGGCACTATTGCGGGGTGTTCCTCTGGAAGAGATAATGCAGGCAGCATGCTGGAAAACGGCAACGACCTTTTCGTCATGTTACCTGAGAGATGTCCTCCTAACAGAGGGGCGGACTGGGCGGGTGGCGATGTCAGCCACCATGCCATCAGCTGCCCCAAGACAACCCTCCAAAGAGGTCTCAACCCAGGCTGTTGTACCAACAACTCAACAGTAGGGTGAGTAAGGCTCATGGTAGTTTATAATGTGCCTTTGTGTAGTCCATGAGGGGATTCCTTATTTGTGTGTCCTTCTTTGACTTATTTGCAGCCCACTCCCACCACCAATTTCGGTGCCAGTCTATGCATTTATAGGTCCAACAGGTAAGTAGGGAACGAAGTGGACAACCCCCAAACTATGGTGTTTGGTTGTCCACGAGGGGACTACTTACCTGTTGGACCGTCCCGCCCGCCTTTCCCCACAGTGGGCTCCTCCTTTGGTGTGATTCACTCGCGCTAAAGAAAGAGGACGATAATGGCGGGGGATCTGACTATTGTGGGCGCTGGCGCAGGAGGGCGCTGTGGCACGCTATAGCAAATCTTTACTTTAGCGGTTAATTTACATAGTTACGGAAATATGCATTTATAGGTCCAACAGGTAAGTAGTCCCCTCGTGGACAACCAAACACCATAGTTTGGGGGTTTTTTCCTGTAGTCTGGTTCCCTGACTCCATATAAGAAGAAACAGAGCAGTTTACATACATTGGGGAATTGTAAGGTAAGGGAACCAGTCTAGCTGGCTCGTACCCGTTCATAGGTTTGTAATCGATTGCAAACAAGTGCGATTGTCAATTGGGGCCAGTATTTGAAAAAAAGCCAGTTGTTTCCAACGCTGATCGGCCGATCAGCGTTGGAAATTGATACAAAAATACCACTTTTCTTGAAAATGACAGTATACCAGGTGCCATGATTTTACAGGATGCTTTACACTGTCATTCACTAACAGTCCAGCAAGGTATTTCAAAATGATTTGGTAGTTGTTTTTTTTTGATGTTTGCAAATGTTGTATTTGACTCGTTGGGAGAAGAAGTTCATCCTACACAGCCAATATTCTTATTTAAAGCTGGTTTGAAGATCTTCAGAGTGTGACCTCCTGTACTGGTGCATGTCGCTGTCTTGGCAAACTTTCTTGGCTAGCATCTCTACCATTTTCTGCATAGTTTCCGTTATTATGTCCAGTCTCCGTGTACGTGTCACTTCTGACAGTTGATAAGTTTGTTGTGGAATGTGGAGCATCTCCACTTTCACTCGGTTGTTCACTAATGCCTTTTAGCATATACCTCTACTGTACATGTAGCATAGAACCACATCACGTTCTGACGTCCCTTCTTAAGTACTTTGTATTCTTGGTTGTTTGAGTAAGCACAGGCCTGGTGGGTCCACCTCATACATTTCTGACACATTACTGCTTTATCAATGGCTTCTTGAATGCATACCATGCAATCCTATCTTTTAAAGATATAGTCCATCATTTGTAATTTGTGCATTTTGTTCGTTTCAAGCAACAAAAGTGTTGTGTTCAAAATCTAATGAAGGATACTGAACAACTAACCTGATGAAGTTTCAGCTCAGCTTCAGCTGTATATTCCGAGAAAAACAGCATTCTAGGATCTCAATTTCAAATCAAAAGTTGCTGAATCATGTTTTGAATTGTTTTGAATTGCAGCTATACGCGATGTCGCGCACTGATCCGACGAATTATGGCGCCTGTGCGTCGTGCCAATGCCTGCGCGCGCTGCGCCGAATAACAAAACGAACTACTAATTTAAATTTCCCTACGGTGCGTCTTAAGACGCACCGTTGGAAAGGCCTTCTTTCGTTGATTACTTCAAAATGATAGCTTGCCAGAAAGATTAATTTCACAGGGAGTTTAGTCCACTTACTATCTTTCAAGCAAGTATGTTTTTCAACAATAATACGCCAGTTACTTTTTTTGATGGCTGCAAATGATGGACTATAGCTTCAACTGTCAAAGTGGCGTTCGATATTCTTCTCAGTTTCTTGGCCACTTTTTTCTACACTCCCTCAGTATCATAGTTTAGATCAATGGTGATATGCACATTGCATTCTGACAATTTTCTGAATTACATCCGCACTGAACGGATCACGTTTTGCGCCAACTCAGAGAGAACGCTAATGATACACGCGCAGCTTTGGAGCACGCGTATAGGCATGCACGGTCATATCAAGGCAAGATTTATATCAACTGACACTTATCGTGTTTCATATAATCATCCGGAGCCTTTCTTATTGTCATTTGTGATAGAAACAGGTGTGAGACTGATTTGTGATCAATGTTTTTTTTCTAGAATAATATCTGGGTAATTCCAGCGTGATAAAAGGCAGTGTAATGTCCGTGGCAGAGCCAATTAACCATGATATCTAATTAATGATTCAGAGAAATGATCCAAACTCCTAGTCTGTAATCTCTTTTACTAGTACTAGATGATGGATGTATAAGATTTGAAAAATACATTTCCAGGTCTACTCATATACAGAATCGTTGGATTGTAGGAGTTGTAATGTTTGAGTAAAAAAAAAGGAAACCCAAATTGGCGGACCATTTTTTAACGAAATCAATAGACATAGCTATGTGAATTGTTTTCGTTTTGCTGAAAGAACACTTACCTTTTTTGTGATCCGTGGACAGAACTTTTAAACAGTGTTTGTGTTTTAAATCCCGTAACTTGAAAAGTACATGAGTGATTTGAATGATTCTTGTACTAAAAGAAAGCTTATCAACTAGGCTTTCATACCCTACATTTTGAGGGTACTACATACAAATCGTCATATCAAAAATTGTCCTGCAATGTTATGTGGGTTTCCTTTTTTTAAACTCACCCTGTAAGCGTGTTGTATTTTCTACACTGTATTTAAAACACGGCAGTTTTGTTTTTCTCATTGTCGACCCGTAGAGGAACGTATGGTGAAGTTTTGCCAGCCAGCGTTACTGAAATTCTATTATACAGACTGTTTTATTTAATAAGGCCTGTACATGTAGTGCGGGCTCAGTTTATTATCGTTGTAGCCGATGGTCGTAAAAGGGAAATACATTTTCCGAAGTGAATACAGAATTTTACATATAGTTTTAATATAGATCGTCAGGTGATGTCGTACATTGTATATTGGTAGCGGTATTGTACTAGTCAAACGTAAATTATTTGACAGCTTAAAGGTCCCATGCAATAGAAATATTTTCAATGTAAACCTTGAAATTGGGCTAGATTGATTTGAACTTAAGTTCAACCGTCCTATCGCCATTTTGTAAGGGCGCTTCACATATTTGTTATGTTTTCATACATAGGCGATTTTCATATTCACATGTAAATCTGTGATGTCATCTGGGGCGCATGTTCATTGTCACAGCTACTTCAGTACCAAGAGACGCCATTATAATTGTTGTTGTTTGTTTGTTTTGGGGGGTTTTGTTTGCGTATTCAACTCCCTCTTTCCGTGTTGCTGATTTAGTACGTGGCTGCCCTTTTGAGCATTTTAAATGCATGAACGTTTTAAATTAGCTACTTATTTTGTTTCAAATGAAGTGTGCCTAAAGTGACGTCACGGCAACAACGCCCTCAATTGTCAGAAAATAACAATCTATAAAGAAAACCTTTATACAGTAAAACCTACACAAGACAATCTATTTATTTATTTCAGAAATTACGAGAAAATTGATATTTTCCCAATGAATAGATATTTGCCCCAAACACGTTTCGCCTGATTGTAAAATAAATTACATGGACCCCTTCACCACACTCAACGAGTCCAATCCTATTAATCAAAAGCCGGTAAAACAGCCAAAACCTTGAGCCAACTATTACGTGAAAGAAAAAAATCCTCTCCATATAAATGTTAAAATGGTTCCCTGCTCCTCTGCCACCAAATCACCTTATTGTTGGCGAAGGAGGAAGAAAAAAACACAGATACATTGATCATGTCGTGAGGTAAATGGTTACCATGGCAACGCGAGTTCGCCATCGCACTCTTATAAGACGAACGGTCAGTGGATAAGTTGTTATTGCAAAGTCAAAAAAGAACGAAACAGATGTTCCGTGGATTTGTGTGGTTTTTTTTTTAATTATTAATATTGCTGTTGTTTGGTTAGACGTAAAAAGCCATTCAGTATGGCATAAATTTATTAAATTTAAGTACGTTACAAGAAGGGAGGTTCGTAGTTTGTGTCACCTAATACACTCTGCACATTTCCACACCAAAAATGTAGGAATCCATGTTGTTTGCTT